TGTCAAAATATAACTTGCATTTGTATTCATTTCTCACACTTCAGAGGTAACTTTGGAGAACTGAGCTTGAATTTATATTCTAAACAGAATCCCATTCTCCTGAAGTAAAGTCAAGAAATGAAATCAGTTCTTCCTTTTTCTGCGATATACTTCCCCTTTGGATTCATACCTTTTACTTCTTCTCTGTGTTTTGAGTGCAGATATATATAATTCTGATAGAAACCTCCTAAATAGATTGTCACTCCTATTTTATAATGTGCTTTCCTGAGAGTCAAAAAAGGATAGTTCCAATCCACTGAAAACAATTATTTCTAAATAGTGAACTTTGGTCAAAACTCTTTAATTTAGTGTTCCTGAATAATTAAGATGTACATTAAAGTTGAGTCAGAGTTTTCAGAGTTAAAAAAAACTTTATTAGTAAAAAGGTAAAACTATGGATCAATGGTACTCCAAATTTTAGAGTGTTATTTAAAAGCAAATGTAAAGAAAACATTCACTAGTCAAGCTTAGCTGAGTTAACAGTGAAAAATAAAGGTGTCAATGTGCATGTCATGTTTTTGTATTCATGCTGATTGGGTTGTCTCTACCAAACCAGTTGCTACTTTTTCTTTTTGTTGTCAGATGCTTGGGCATTGATTTGAAAGTATGTAACAAACAAGAGGACCTCCAGAAAACTCTCTTTTATTAGTGAGGGAAAGGAAGTTAGACATACAGTACTATAGAAAGAGTAGCTTTTTTCTCTCACCCTTTTTTTATCCCCTGGTAATGCTCACTGAGGTGGTGAAGGTCACAGTAGCTTCTTTAGTGTAGATCAGTCTCCTTTGCATTCCTTATGCTGCCCATCATTTTTTTCCCATGCTTTTGAGGCAGCTATGACCTTGTCCAGCCTAGGACTTGTTCTTTACAAACATTCTCAGTGTTCTTTATGTCCTTTGAAGTGTTCTGCTGCTGAATTGTCACAAGTTCTCTTCCATCTTGTGCCACTGAATTTTGTATGTGGTTTAGTAGAGTTTCACTACTCACCTTCCCTTAGCATTGTTCCTTCCCTTTCTGACATTTTTCTTGCCTCATGGACTCACAAGGACTTTAACTTCAGCACTTCTGTATTTGTGGATCTCACATAAAGAGTTCTCTGGCAAGAATTCATTTCTTTTTATGTATTCAGATCATCCTACCAGGAACTTCCCCATATTTGCAGGGAAGATTCAGGAGTAACTTCATTTAGGGGAGATCCTTCTTGATGCCTAATCTGCAATTTCTATAACCATGAATGTCATTGCAAGAGAAGAAGGTCTTTAATATCCCAGTCAGTGTCTCTTGCTACTCACTGCATTGAGAGGGACACAAAAGTGAACCCTCAATATACCAACCTATATTTTTACATCAAAAAGAAAAGCACCCACATTGGACTCCTGCAGACCTGTTGGTTGCAGGCATTTGGTCTGTATACGCTGGAATGGAGCAAGTTGGAATTTTGGCATTTGTCCTTTATTTTCCTCAGGCTTTTATACATAAGTGGCAAGAAACTGTGTCAACTGTTACTAGTCTGTTACCAGGACTTGTTAACAACATTTTGGACTCAGAACTGCTTAAAAGATTTCTTAACTTACTAAAGAAACTTTTGGCTCAAAAAGCAGGACCATGGGAGTAGGAGTTTTCATTTCAGTATGCAATCAGTAAACCAGTGCTTTCAAATTGAGTCTCAGAAGATTTTGGGCATTTCAGTAATATTAAGTTAGCTGATAGTTGGCTGATAAACACAATATTAAATTGCAACTGTTATTGCTATTGCTCTCCAAATCTTTGACTTCAGATGTTTTTGTGATGAGAAAATAACAGACTAATTCATTATACATACTTATTAACTGAAATTTTCCTTGGAGCTGCTGTAAATCATAGCTACAGAAAGGTTACCAATCAATCTTTACATGGGAGACCTAAATGGAAAGTGCTCCAAAATTAACAGCAGAAGCTACTTAACTAATTTTTTGATATTCAAGAGAATATTAAAATAAAATCTTTTGTCTACAAACAAATAAGCATTCTAGCAGTGATTTTGATTGAGTCTGTAACTTCTCATTACCTTGAAAATTACTTAACTAGGTTAGGAAGTGAATAATATCAGGAAAACACGGGCATTAGAAAAGAATTGTAATGATTTAGAATTGATTTTTTTAAAATTGATCAGAGAATAAGGACTAAGAGTAGTCCTTTAAACGTTCTGTAACATGATCTTAAAATACTGTTCTGTAATTATGTGTAATTTGTAAAAGTATTTGCTGTAGCAAAAGGTGGTGTTGCTCTGGGGTACAGTGAGATAATTTGGGACAAAAAGACACAAAAGTATCTGTTGGCAACTACAGATTTCACTCATTTCCAATCAAAAGACTGTGAATGAAATTGTGGATGCCTTGAAGATGATGGGAAAAGACCTAATGACTTTTGACACAATTTCAAACCACGCATCTCAAGTTGCTTGATTTAGCATTATTTCAAAATTTTGTCTGCAAAAGTAATCCTTCCCTGATCTTCCTGTGCTGGTATGATCTGTATTTGAGGTAAAAGGGGATAACTATGTGCCTTAAATGACTACACTAGGATAAGTTTATCCAAATAATTTTATATTTAGTATTTGCTTTGTTTGATTTCCCAACTGAATTTGCATTGTCTTGCAATACCTTGGCAAGGGAATAGCATTCCCTTCTTTGATAACGAAGGTTTAGATCTGTACTGCATCATGAACTTTAATATATCTTTCATACTCTATTATATGATTGTCAATAAATTCAATATGGCACAGGGCTCCAAATGTTGCATTTTCATTTCTTACTGCTTAAATGAAATCAATATCTGTGTACATAGAAGAACAGTAAGAAATTTTCTAGTGGTTTTATCTAAGAAATTAATCTATGGTTTTGCAGTCCTTAAAAATTTCAATTACAGTGTACCAGATTGCTTAATTAGTTAACTAGGGGTTACAGCTTAACAGGTAATGTTGAACTGCATGATTCACCAAATCACATGTGCAAAGATAACTGCTTAGTTAAATTAAGGTTTCCATATTAAATGACTTAGTTAAAAATAATTGAAGGTTTTTTTTTTAATTGTCCCCGCCCCCCCTAGGGAAATTGAATCATGGATCTTGGGAATATATACAAAATTCCAAACAAGGTACTGGTGGAAGTGAGAACAGGCAGGGAGAGGGGTTAGATATATTTAATATAGTTTTTACTACATTAAATAAATTTTATAAGAATTATGCAAAATACTTGCATCTCATATATCCCTTCATTTGCTTTGAAAGATGTACTTAATTGTTCAAACAGATGGTCCTGTAGGAGTTTAATTATCCTGGCCTTATTTTCAAAGTGGAAAAGAAATCTGAATACTTCTTGCAGACTTACTATTGTGGTTCCATCATTACACTGTCTGAATTCTTGTTACCAAAACCAGTTGAATTTTTGTTTACATCTGCATTTGTAATTCACACAATGCTCTGAATCTTTTGAATTCTTAGATGTGCTAATTTTGGAATTGTAGTATTTCTTTTTTGGAATTGCAGTATTCCTGTAGAAAATGTATTAGTATTTTCTACACTGAAATAGTCTAATTTGGCAGAATGATGTCTGCATGATATATTGCATTTTGTTGCAAGGGCAGAAGCCTCCTATAAATTTGAAAAACGAGGTGTCTGCAGGAATAAAAGGACTTGATAAAGACCAAACCAAAGGAAGGCTGCATGAGCTGCTTTTGTGGGAGGAGACATTCACTTGACATCCCTTGATCTCTGAAATACCACAAGTTCTTTGTAAAGTATAATTTTTTTCTAAGGACTTGTCAAATGTAGAGGAGAAGGACCATGTTAATGTTTCAGTCTCCAGGAAAAGCTGCGATTCACTGCTGAAATCGGCCACATCAAAATCCAAAGTTCATTTTCTCTGAGTATCCCCAAAAATACCGTTGTTACTGCCCACTCCTCGGGGTTGCTTTTTCACATGAGGGTTCTCCTGATCCTTGTCTTACAGCTTACTAATGAATTCCTGGGGGTTTGTGGAGCAGCAGGGCAAGGCAGTGTCATCGGGACCATTTCAGCTTCATTCCTGGTGCAGAATACTGAGATTATTGGCACACACACCAGAAGGGATAAGTGACAGGTTCTAGAAAGCAGCTGAGGAAAAGGTCACTCTGGATCTTGAGTTCTGATGCTTGGTTTAGAGTTTCTGATGTGCTGTTTCAGCATTCTTTTAAACTGTAGGTTCATTCCTGTAGAGGAAAGGTTATTCCCCTAGAAAAGAGTGAAAACTCAGTTTTCTGGAAGTATATTTCACTTCTCCGTGAAATTTTCCCAGAGAATGTGAATATTTAGCATGTAATTGGTAATATGCTCATGAAATAATGAGTGGCAAACAAAAGCAGTATCACAAAAACTACAGCTGTGTTAAATTATACTTAATGTCCTATACAAGCAGAAAGAATGAACTGTGTTTATTTTCCAAACAATAAAATTTCTAGTTTAGTTTTCGATGTAATTTTGTTAGGAAGTAAATTAAGTTTCATACTTGGGATGAAATTATGTTTTGAAATTCTGATGCTACAAAGCTAATTTACAAAGTTGAAGAACTGTGTTGAGGACACAGAAATCAATTTTATAGTGGTATTAAATTATTTTTTTCCTTTGGTCACTGGGTAGCAGAATATGCTGGAAACCATGGTAACAAAAAGTGCTGCCATGGTTGCCCCAGAGTCATGTTCAAATAAGCAAGCTGTGTTTGTCTTGATTAAAATAAGAGAAAGAAAGAAAAAGAAAGGGAAAAAGAGAGAAAACAAGGGTAATGACCTGTGCAATAGGAACAGCAAAGGCACAGTCAGAGCTGTACCTGGGGCTCCATGATCCTGGGATTTCTAGTGCTGTTGCATCACATGAGGCTTTGAGGAGTGAGGAGATGCATCATCTCAGGGTTTGTCTTTACACTGTTTCCTTCCATGTCTGTATTTTGCAGGTTTATATCAGGATAAAGGATGATGAATGGAATGTTTATCGAAGATATGCGGAGTTCAGAAGCTTGCATCATAAATTACAGAGTAAATACCAGCAAGTGAGGACTTTTAACTTTCCACCTAAAAAGGCCATTGGAAACAAGGTACTTGAAAGAACTCACAGTATCAGTAAAAGCTGGGGGAAAAAACCTCTCTCATTCATACACAAATAAAAGAGGTGACTCATAAATGTTTTTACACCTGCTAGACAGTACCTGCTATTTTTATACAGACTTTTCCCTTTCCAGGTGCAGGTTCACTGGTGTAGGTAATGCAATGATTTTTCCACTTACTGAAAAGAAAACTGGTTCTATTAAATGAAATATTCATGACATACACAATAAACAAATGCACAGAACCTCAAAAACTGTGCTGGACAGCTCCATATGTAAAATGAAGTCTCTACTACATTTTTTTTTTTTTAAATGGCAGCAATTAACAGTGGTGAGTAATTAATTAAATGTTTCTGTTGCAATTTTGTGTTAGAAAAATCATCTTTTCTAATTTGTGTGAGACAATACAAAATTTCAAAAACAACTAGAAAAAAAATTATAAATACCTTACTCACTTTGGGATGTCAATGAATTGGACTGTGAGGGTTTAAAGGTAGTAACTGATCTGACTCCAATGGTTTCCCACGTGTACTCCAGAAATGAGCAGGTGCTGTGAAAGGGCAGTAATGCACATCATCTGGAATAAGTGGTGGTGATGTAAGTATATTAAAATGAATCAGTAAAACCTGCAGTTCTGTTTGCTTGGCATAAAGTCCACTGTTAATGTGGTTGTTCATTGCCTGCGAACCTGGGAAATGAAAATACTTATGAGATCTTTTCTGGGTTTTTTTTTCATCTGTTAGAAGCTCATGCATTTTTCATTTAATTTTTAGTGGATGGTTTTGTAATAGAAACAATGTATTTTCTTCTTTGTTACATAACTAATTCTCCTTTTTTGAAGTGATGGAGTATCAGCCACTTCAGTAAATTACAAAAGCCGCCTTTTAAGCCTTTTTTTTGATAGTCTTTCATCCTTAATTACTTTAAATACTAATTGAGTTACAAATTCAGTTGCACGGTTGATGCATACAAAATTATCAGTTGAGCAACTCATTAAAAAATTTACATTGCTTATTCTTTTAGTGCTTCAGCTTTGAGCCAAAGTTCTACCTTAATCCTGCACAAACCCACTTTCTCTCATATCAGGTCTCAGAAAAAGTATCTTTTTACAGTAAGAAAGGGGTGCCATCCATTGGACTCCTGAAAGACTGCTATGATGAGACATGAGAGAGTTGTGATTATACTTCTGTGTGTTAGTTTAGTGATTATAAGCTAATATTTAGTTTATTAGTGATTGTACTTCTGGCTACCTGCTGTAAATATCTTAGGAGTCAGAGTGTGACGCTTTCACATCAGCTTTGCAAGAGCTTTTTCCTCAGTTTGTCACACAAGAGCTTATTTGCACAGCACATTGTGTAGGAATTTCTTTGTCTTTTAGTGGTGCTGTTTTCTGTACATGTCACAGTATGTGTTGCCTTCAGAAATATTGTATCATTTCGTGCAGTAACTCCTTGGAAAATTACTGACTGAGATGGATTAATGGCCTGGAGACGGCCTTCCCTTCCATGGCAGAGCAGGTTGAAGGTTTAAAAGGAAAGTTTAAAAATATCAGTGTAAAATTAATTAATTCATATGGGTGTGTGTCTGTCATGGAATTCTGGATGAGGAGTTTGTGCAGGATGTTACACGTGCAAATGTTTGGCAATAAACATTAGAAGAGATATTGCCAATACTACTTTTTTCATGCTGCTTTTTTAACTTCAGTGGCTACCAAAGCACGTTCCCTTTTAGATATGCACTTGGATTTCACTAGGTATTTTTTCTCTCTGATATTAGTTACACTGTTTCTGATAGAATTGGAGCTGTCTTCCTGTTCCTAGATTAATCACTACAGTCTTGAATCAGTGCCTGAAGAGCAGTTTCAGTAGCTGAATTCTGCTAACAAAAGTGTCTCTTACGTCAATCTACGGTTTTCATATCCTTTACAGATCCTCAGTGTTATTAGATGCCCAAATAACATATTGGTAAAAAAATTGTCCTCCGTGTGTAAATAGCTGAAAATCACTCTTTTGCAGTTTTTGGAAGGTGGTGTGGGTGCTTTTATATCCTTCAGGTCTGTACCTGAATGCTGTTATTCATTGCATGTCTTCACTCTTTGGTACCGTGAGGCTGATGAAGGTGATTCTAAATGTTAGTGCCATTGGAAACTCCTGCTGTAATTGATGCCAGCTCTAAATTTGATGTTCAGTGACACATCTCACTTTTGGGGAACCTCCAAGACCACAAGAGGACACCATATTCTGCAGAATGACCTAGAATCGCTCCTGCAGAGTGACCAAACACTGTCCAGTGTTTTGCTATGCAAAATATTGGAGCTCTGAGAAGGGAGTTTGACTAGAAGAGATAATGTAGAAAATCATATGGGGAAGTATTAATTTTCGTGCACAGTTTTCCTGGTTACTGCAGTAGAAGTCAGGGCAGATCAGGTTCAAATGCAAAGTTGCAGAGTTTGATGTTGGGAAAATACAAAAGGAAAGCAGAATTTCAGCTGAATTAGGATTGTAAAAAGTCAGAAAATCAAGTATTATTACATATATACGGTGGAATTTGAAAATATTTAACAATTATAAACCAATATTTTGAGAATGTAATATATTCATTCTAATTATGATGTTTTAAATGTATTTTTACCTTTCATTTGTTTGCCTTCAGTTTTTATCTTAAGAGTTCATGTTCGTGATCTTTCAACAAATTAAATATATAGCATTAGAAACTAGCTTTAATGCTTTAGGAAACATAAATTTAATATACAGAAAACCAATTAGTTGAAAATTAACTGAGAAGAGGAAGGAATACTGCTTTGGACAAGTAACTTTTTTTCAATTACAAAGAAGAGTACACAAAGAGTGTATTTGCCTTTCAGGTTGGTAACCTCATTTTCAGTGTATTAGTTTAACATTTGAACTTAGTAAGTTAGAACCAACATAAAGCAATGAAGAAAATAATTTGATTTATAAATGTTGCTTTGAACCAAGTTAGAGCCACAGGAAAATATAATAATAATGCTTGTAAGATTCCAGGTATTAATTTTCATATATACTAATCCCCATGCTGTATATCTTCTACTAAAGATATTTTGGTGCTGGTAGGAAATAGTTGTCAAAATCCTTATAAGTAATCCTAGCAAGAATCAGTATTCTTACTTCAGTTTATTGATGCTCTGTTTGAGCAAAACCAAGAAATATATTTGTTCTCTTTGCATTGTGTGTATAAGAGAAATGTCATATACTCATGATATATTTTGTACTTCTTTTTTAAACTGCAGATAATTTTATTTAAAACTGACAAATTTCAAGAGTATTTTTAACACTTGAACTGTTCAATTTTGTAATTTAAAAAATGCTCCCCATGTACCAGCCTGGATTGTGATTTGCTCAGTATTTTATATGTAGCTGTATATACCAAGATTTGTTATTTCAAACTATGATCTTTCTTGCATGAAATAGATTTTTGCCTTTTAGCAAGCCTTCAGGTACTTTGGATCTTTTGAACTCATCCTTCCATTGTCTCAATTTAAGTCCTTGTGACTCCTGCCTTCCTGTCAGGAGTGCCCAAAGGACAGGCTCGTTTCCAAGTCTGGAGTGTGCCCAGTTGTGTGAAGCTCACAAAGAGAAGCTCTGTACAGACATAACACTTGGTTGCAAAGGGTTCCCTGAATGTTCTTGCACAGAAATATTGCTTAATTTTTTTCATTTAAGACAAGCCCTTACATTTAGATTCCGAACCTTTGTTGGTGCTGTGTTGGTATCTCACTTTCAGATTGTTGGTTAAGTAATAATACTTATTTACTGGACTTATTATTCTAATTTTTTGGAATATTGCAGCATCCTTAAAATCTCCATTGCTACTTCTGCACTGGGCAGATTATAGTAGCCAGTAACGATCTAATTAAGGATCTTCTTGCAAGAGTATTGTCCCAGTAGAGGACATATCAAAATAGAAATGGTTCTGTACTTCCACTGAAGAGGTGAATTCAGGGATTGTCTAAGTGAGTAGAAATTGAGTCAGGTACCTTTCCACTGAGTGCTGACTTGACTGCATGATATCCTTTGCTTTCCTTTAAAACATTGGATACCCCATATGGAAAGAATACACAGCACTTTTCTGAGATCAGAAGAGTGACTTTGTTGTGACTCCTCAGCTGCATTGGAAGAACAATACAGAAACCTAAAATAAGTTTTCTGTCTGGGAGAAAATGTTGAGAGCAACATAATTCATCATTTTTTGCCCATGCAACTCAAGTCTGTGAGCTGTATCTGTAGCCAAATGTTAGTTCAATAAAATAAATGTGTCCCTCTCACCTGTCAGTGACTAAGCTAAATTGTAGATTATTTATTGTACTTTTTTAAAAGTGCATATTATATTAAAAGTTCAAACATTATGCTCATATATTTAGACTGGTATCTATTTGTGTATACATGTATAAATGTGTGTGCATATGCAACATCAGACAGCATTTAGGATATATATGAAGTTGGCTTCTGGAATGTATCCTTTAATTCTGCAACTTCTATTCCCCAGCAGCTCTGTCTTTCTCCCATTTATGTCAGTGGAAATGCTGCCTTTGCAGGATGGATTCCCTGGCATTTTGTTCCCAACAGCATAGCTGTGTTTTGTCAGTGTTTGGTCTGTTGGCCTCTTGCTGAAGAGAGTGAAGAGTTTAAGACAGTGTGCAGGATAACTATTTTAGAATTAAAAGGTATAGAAGGTAAAGATTTTATTACAAATACAACGTATCTTGCTGTTATGCTTATAATGTTTATTGTTTTTTAGAAGTTTGTCATGTAAAGAATTATCAGGCTCTGTGTGTGTGTGTGTCTATGTGAAGTAATTTGAAGCCATTCAAATTAGAGCTGGAGTGGTGATATCTCTGCTCTTGAGGGTTTCACTGCTGTCATTGATGTGCAACCCCTGTCATGTATTTCCTCTCTGTAAAAAGTTGAGGTGCCATTTTCAGCCAGCAGGACCTGTCTATTCAGAGATGAGAACCC